TCCTCTATCTCTACTAACAGAAATGCTGGTGCTGTCCTTTACTACTTTTTATCACTTTGTAAAAAGTCTGTACATTTTTCTTTTTCTTTTTCTTTTTTTTTTTTTATTTTGTGACCGGCTGCACCGCAATCAGCCAGTGAGCGCTGTGAGTGCACTGGTCATCCCTATATAGGATCCGAACCCGCGGAGGGAGCGCTGTTGCGTTCCCATTGCCGCGCTCTCCCGAGTGCGCCACGGGCTCAGCCCTTTATTTTTCTAACACACGTATTCTCAGGACACACCAAGAGCTTAGTATATGCCAAACCCACTTGATTAAGAAGAAAAAAAGATACAGGGAGTAAAAATATCTTGACAAAGGTCCAAAAAATATTTACCCTGAGTCATTCTATTCTCTGTTTCTTTCTTCTATATTTGACTGGGCAACTATGAAAATGAACTTCGATAGCTTTCTGTGAGTATAGTCGATTAAAGGATATTTTTAAGAGAGATATACATAAATGTACAAGACCACATTTCTTGTTCGTTTGGCATTCATTTAGATTTGATTTTATTACTGGTCCTTTTAAAAAGGGTTGGTTTGTCATCTCTGAGTTGGTTATTTCAACACTCCTACGGAACAAAATTTTCATCTGAAGATTCTGTCGTATCATAGAAATTGGGCTAAATTTGGATTCCTCTGAAGTTCTGTAAGTTATTTCAGGGTAAAGTTGCCAAAAAATACCCAGTCATCCCTGTGGGTTTCTTGTGAGCTAGGCTAGATTATGGAAATAAACTTCTGTGTCCCCTCCCACTCCCACTTTCTACAATACAATGGCCCATCTGTGAGGTAAGAGGGACTAACTCCACTTTTAAACAGAGACTAAATTCTAACCACTCATGTGTTAGAAAAACTGTAAAATGAACGTCAAACTGCTTAGTCATTTCTTTCTTGAAATAATTGACCTAAAGTTCAGAAAAGGGTAAGAAAGGCAAATCATTAGGCACAGTAAGAGAGGGATTACATTCAAAAACAATTTTGTTTTAAATGATTTAAGTATTTCTGGTGTGTGCAAGAGTTCCCCCTTCCAATGATTTCTCATTCAATTAGTCAAAGTTGATGCAGTAATTTTGATTATAGTTAAGTTTTTGGAGAAAATGTCTACCAGGGTACTTCAAAAAGTTCATGGAAAGATAGAGTTAACAGATAACATGAATCTTTCCATGAACTTTTTGAAATACTCTGCTAGTATCTTTCCATCTATCTATGTATCTCTCATCTATCTCTATCTATCTCTATCTATCTATCCATTCCTCTATCTATATATTAAAAATAGGAAGGACAAAACATCAGGATGAAAAAAGGAAGACGAATGCCAAGTGATTTAAAAGTTAATGCATCATTTGTAAAATTTTGCTATAGTCTGTTTCTTCTTTCTCCTAATTCTACCTAATTTAGGGATTATTATTGAGCTCTCTCCATCTCTGATACTGGAATACTGTCTGTATTAGGGGCGTCTGGGTATGGACAAAGTGTCTTCAGTCTCCCTTTGGTTATTGAGGTCTCAATATTTCAAATATTAGTTTTGATTCTGGGTCCCCTGATTCCTGGAGATTTGTGGAGATATTAAGGGGTACCTATGAGCTTTTCACAATATTTAATAAAGTTCCATGGGCTCAAAAGATTGTTTAGAACATTTAAATTTTCCTAATCGGAACTCTCAATCAATTATCAAATTATCTCGGTTTCTCTGACAAACCAATACAGACAAATGGTTAATTTAAAATATTGCTGCAAGAGAAGTGACTATTTTTTCTCTAATTTTTTCCATCTTGCTTTTGAAAGGCTTGCAAATTAAAACTAATTCTACAAGGAACTAATTCTACAGAGTTGAACAAATATCTTTAAACACTGGTTTTTAATGTGATAAAATAGGAAACATACCACTATTTTTGCTTCAAATTAAAGCTCTACATCAGTAAATCTGTCATATCCTATTATATTTTGAATCTGTGTATAAACATTAGCAAGAACTGACTGAAAGGTGGCCTGGAAAATAGTGCCATTGAAAGTCTCCCAGTGTGAAGTTGGAGGTAACTGAGGTGGATCTCTTATGGCTTTACTCTGCTCCCCTTGATGTGTAGTATTATCCTTCCTTTCACTGAGTACATCTCCTATAAATCCACAGGCAGGTTCCTGGGAGGCTCTAGATCTGATAGCTAGCTACCAGCTGGAGAGGTTAAACATATTCATGCCTCACCACCCAACTACTATGTTTCCTTCCATAGACATTAATTCAGACTCAGGTTATGCTTAGTTGGGTAGTGGCCAGAGGAATTCAGACCACGGAGTACAGAAAGCATAAGGTAGTAATGACTCTATTCACCCAGGATGCTCTGCCTGAAAGGATCTTTTCACAGCAGTTAGAAGGTCTGAGATGTGACCAGAACGTAGGGCCTGCTAGACTGACTGCATCATTTCTCACCTTCTAGAAGAGTATCAGCCCACAGAACTCTCAATAAATCAGGAGAACTATTGAGAAACAATTTGGAACACCATTTCTGCATGTTGCTACAAGCATTGTAACTCTAACTACTGAATTTGTTTAGGACTCTGGCAGCCTCACAAATATGTATTTCTAAACTTGTGTTCATTTCATACTTTACATTTAAGAAAAGGCCTAGAAAATAAATTTAAAAGTATAAAAATAATTGGACAGAAAAGTCAGGCTTCAGAGAAGTTTGGAAACTGAAAATACATAAAAATCTTCCATTTGTGAGATGATGAAAGCTAATGAAGATGATAAATTGACTTATATTTCCACTGTAAGGTTCTTAATTCATAATTGTACATTTCAGGCTCAAATGCAATATATTAAACTATTTTATTAAATTATGTTAACAATTTGAGATTGTAATCTGAAGAGCTAGTTGGTGATATCTCTCTGTAGCTGACATAAGGTGTCCCAAACATTCTGCCAGCAGCTTTAGAAATATAAAGTATTGTTTTACCTGTGATGTAAGAGGCAATGTTCTTGATGAAGGAGTGGTTCTTTATCACAAAGAATAGATTGATATTGAAGGTATTTTCTAGTTGCTTTTCTCATTTTACATGCCTCTGTTCACGTTGTCAAACAATTTCATTTTAGAACTCAATCTAGTTTCTGATCATCTTTCTTCCAAGTCTTAAACTGTATGAAGAGAAGATTTAATATAATCTGATGGGTCATAAGGCATATTTTGATGACTAACAGAAAATTGGGTTCCTAAAGATTAGTGGCAGCTATAGAATTGAACATACATACCTGGTAAACTCAGTTGAGGACCCTTAAGCATTTAAATGTCTTTAATAATCAAAGTATGCCCTGGTCAAGGGTCCCAGTCTTTGTCAACAGAAAAACGTATTCATTCATTCCACACATCTCTATGGAGTGGCTAATGTATGCTGGCACCCTGCTGGGCACTGTTCCAGAAAATCTTTGAAGGAAACATCTCAGGAAAATTAAGGAGCAAAAAGGAGTCAATAGGATTGAACAATTTGAATGTGGAAAAAAATGACCAGATGACCAAGGAATCTATATTCCAGGTTTACAAGGATTATTTCGAGGATGGAGTAAGTAGAGAGGGCATTTAGGAACCTGCTCCTTCTCATTACTTTTACGGTGGAGTGACCGTGTTTTCGGTTCCTGAGGCTGAGGCCAGAGCCGAAGCCAGGCCCTCTTGAGGAGCTGTGGGCCTAGATGCTTGGAGATTACGGCTGGTTGCTTTCCTTGCCTTTTCTCTTCCATCCTCTGCCCCCTTTTATGCTGGATCAGGACAGAATCAGTTGGAAAATTAAATCACTCACCCACTTAATGTCACCTCCCATAAATTTCTTTCTCTTCCTCTCTCAGAGTACAGTTCAGCTCTTTAACAGGCAAGCCCCCGAATGAACCTAGTGCTGAATTTAAACTTTTAAGAAACCTGTCAGTTACCGATCTCCAAGGAGAGCTTCCCTACAAGCTCATAGGTTTTGACCCCTAGGGTTCTTCCATCCCACCTTCATTCCTTTCCTCTAATTCTCTGGTTGAAAAAGAATAAAAATACTTTTCAGAGTAGGCAACGCAATGAGTCCGTTGGTTCCACCTCTGCCATGCGAAGCAGACTTTTGCACAGGGGTAAGGTTACGGCTGCCAGCCCGGGACTCCAGCGGTGTGGCGGATCCGACGCCGGGCTCCTCCCCTCCCCCGCCGACGAACGAGCGGCTAAGAGACCGGTGCAAGTAGACAAGTAGCTGTTTTTATTGAATACAGAAGCTCCTTGAAAACGCCGTGTGCTCCGGGGCTCTCCTGCAATTCCTTTCATTCCCAAAGTGCAGGAGCCAAGCACGCGTCCCGCGTAGCTCCCTCCCACTTCTTCTGGGGGGTTCGGGTGGGAGAGGAGGGAGGAGAGGAGTGGGCAGAGGGGGGCGGGGGTGGGCCGGGCTTGCCCGGAGTCCTGCTCCTCGGGCCGAGGGAGCGGGGGGCTAGCCTCTCTCCTCTTCAGCTTCTTTGCCCGTTAGAGGACAGTGTGACAGCCTTGCTTTGGTGTGTGGAGCTAAGGCAGGCATGCTTTCTGAAAGTGATGACCAAATATTTAATAAGCTGTATGAGCCAAGTAACAAATAAACTCCAAAAGTGAAATGAGCTGAAATGGAAGCATTCTTACTGCCCCCACAGAATACCTGTCTTCATGATCAATAGCAGCAGCATTACTGCTGAACATATGCTAATGTTGCTGAGAATATCATAGGCGGACCTCAGCGTTTATTTTCTTAGAGATATCTTTTCCTGTCTCAGAGATATGTCATAAAGAGTGATGGCTATTTTTAAAATTATAACTCACAAAATGACTGCAAGCTCTTAGGGGAGCTACAAAGGTTGAGGTGTAGTATTGTTTTACATGTAAAATGAAACCCTCCGCCTGCGGGAGCGCGCGGCGGGGAGGAGGGGAGTGGGCGGAGGAGGGGGCTGCCCGGAGCCGTCGTCCGGCCCACTGACGGCATGAAACCTCCAGGGGCACGCAGTGCTCTCAGCTTTTTGGTGGAAGCCCCTCATCGGCCTTCAGTCTGAAGGCAGGGCCCGGCAGAGGACAGATCGCAGGGTCCCGGCCGGAGGGGCCAACCGAGAGGGAGAGGTGGGGGCGACAGACAGGAAGGAAGCAAACCATCAAATTTGAAAGAAAAAGCCCTTTGACTTTTTCCCCCGTCTCCCTCCCCAATGGCTGTGTAGCAAACATCCCCGGCGATACCTCGGAAGGGACGAAGCTGGTCTGCAATCGCAATTTCGTGGGTTGAGCTCACGGTTGTGAGTGCGGGGCTCGGAGATGGAGCCGTGGTCCTCTAGGTGGAAAACGAAACGGTGGCTCTGGGATTTCACCATAACAACCCTCGCCCTGACTTTCCTCTTCCAAGCTAGAGAGGTCAGAGGAGGTAAGAAAAAATGGATTTGGGGAGGTGGGAGATTGCCATCGGTCCTTCTCCTTCTGCGCCCCTCCCCCTCTTTACCCTTCCTCCCGCCTCCTCCCCCCTCCCCCCAAGGGGGGAAAAAAAAAAAAAAACTCCCTTAAATAAAATCCAGATTGCAGCTGCCACCAGGTTGGAAGGGGAAACTGGAGAGAGAGAGAGAGATGGATGTAGGCGGGACAATAATGGGAGAGGAGGTAGGTAGCAGGAGAAAAGATCTGTCAGGCGCAGAGCCTGCTGAAAATGCCCTTCACCACTTTCATGCCTCTTTGAAAAGAGGAAAAATATTACCTTGAACACAAGGGCAGTTGTACAAAGCTTTTGTTTGAGGAACAGTCCTTAGACTGCCCTTTGAACACCTCTTCTGGTATCTTCAGATTTTAAGTACTGGGAATATCTTTTTAAAGGTGACTTGAGGAGAAAATATAGAGGAAAGGGTATAAAGTGAACCTTGATAAAGTTCTTTGTCTGCAACAAAGTGAGAAACAGGGTATTGTACTTTTGGGGATATAAGAGAAACCAGGGGGATGAATCTAGAAAACTGAGAACACTTTGTGTGTGTATATGTGTGGCAATCTGAAACGATTTTAAGTGGACAAAAAATTGGCAGATTCTAAGGAACGGGTTCAAAATAGGGAGAGCACTTTTCCCTGAATTTCGGTCCCCTGCTCCCCTCTGTGACCCCCCCCTCCCCACCGCCCCTTCTTCTTGCAGGTTGGACGTGCAGTTCTCTTGGAGAATGATGAAAGTCGCCAAGCAAATGGGGTGGGGGCGGAGGAATAGGGACTGGGAAGGAAGGGGAGGGGGCGTGGGGTGCGGTGGGAGGAGAGAGGTGAGGAGAAGTTCTACGTGGCACCACCAAATATTCAATGACCAGACCTGCTGGGAAGCCTGCAGCCCTGTCAGTACCCAAGGAGGGAAAGCGACTTCGCCCCTCCCCGCCGCCTCCTCCTCCCCTTCCCCGCCCTTTCCTGAAAAGGCATCTGGCTGCAGCGGCCCGTTAGGTGCCGTAGACGCGGCTGGCAGGAGGACGCCTTTGGAGTTCAGGAGCCCAAGCAGCTTAGAGTAGAAAGCAAGCTTTGTCAGGAGTGCAGAGAGCAGCTGGAGATAGGAAGGAGGTGGCGGGAACAGGCGAAGGGAGAAAGAAGTTGTCAACCCCAAATGCGCAGGCTTTAGCAGAAAGAAACTCGAGTCCGGCCCTGGGGCTAGATGCCAAGATCTGAGCTCTCACGTACGGGAGTTAGCGCTCCCGGAGGCCGAACTCTGCCACCAGGTCTGTGTTCCGTCCACACCCTTGGTGGCTGTCATCACCCTGAGTACAAGTCAGAGCTAGATTCTTCCTCCGTGGACTTTTCCTGGTGAATACAGAGCCTCATTAGTAGTATATTGGAGTTTTAAAATGAGTTATGTTCATTACGTTGACTCATTCATTTCCACATTTTCTAAGATAAATAAGAGAGGTTTTTGAAAGTGGAATCTATCACAAAGTTTGCCTTTTGCCTTTGGTACCTGGTCACCAGTTGGATTAGTTAATTCTGTCAGCAGTTCTGCCCTCTGCTGGTTTTATTTATTATTTGGAGTTCAGGCATCTGCCACAGTAAATGGGCCTTTTCATGTCTCTCAACTACAGTGATACTGGAAAAGGACACTTGGTTAAGGAACAATGATATGCCATTTCTTTTTCGGCATGTCACACACACGTAGACAAGAGTAGTGCAATGGCAACTGTTTATTTAAAAATATAGAAACTGAGAAATCCTTCAGTGAAGACAAGTATTTCATGTGTCTTCACTAAACACCATTGTATGAATTCATTGTATGAATTCAGCTCAACACCATTGTATGAATTCAGGGATTATTTAGCTGATGATATTTATGTTTCTTTTCCACATTGGACCTTCCTATGAAGCTCTAAGAATATCAGAAGAATCAAGTTTCTACACTTCTAATGCATAATTTTTTTTTTTTTTTTTTTTTTTTTTTTTTTTTTTTTTTTTTTTTTTCTTTTTTGGGCACGGAAAAAAAAAAAAAAAAAAAAAAAAAAAAAAAAAAAAAAAAAAAAAAA